TGATTAGAATAGGAAATTAGAGAAGCCCTGAGCTGGGACTTTGAATTGCTCTCTACTTTCTGCAGGATTATGGAACTTACAGTTGTTTGAGGACAGAGAACCAGTTGTTTCTAGACTAGATCTCCGTGGTAACCTACGGAGTTGAGGTGAATTCAGAAGCTTGGGGTGATGGAAGGTCTCGACGTCATGATGGCTTTGGGGCTTAGAGTTGGACCTTAGGATGGTTGGTTGAAAGGCACACTGTACACTTGTTTTCATCCTCACCCTCTGTACTCACAGAGCTGTCTGAGGGATTAAACACTTTCTTACAGAGTAGGCTGAATACTGAATGTTTTTGGCCAGCTGTCGGCTAATGTAAGTGTTCTGGGCATGTGCAGGTGGTCAGGTTGAGTTCACATGTTGGGCGGGTTGGCTCTATCAGGTGCATTTTCAATTTACAATTATTTTCAACTGCGTTGGGTTCAACAGAGTGTGACCCCATCACAAACAGAGAAACATTTGTGGCCCTGGCTGGAGCATTGTGCCAGGGTCATACTTCAAAAATGACCTTCTTCCAATTCGCCAAGCCAAGAGACATTCTTTCATCCTACGAGCGTCTGAACTCATCGATGACTTGATTTTGCTGTATGTGCTTTTCAAGTGTCTTCATCACCTCCCTGCTGCACTAGAGAAGAATGCTGAACCTCTCTTCTGGCCAACTCGCTGTCTCTGTCACGAAGAATCACAAATGTGTGATTTCAAAGCCTCATAAACCTTGTTTTGCATGGCTTGCCAATTTCTATTGTGATACCTTCAAGCCATCTTTTTCTAAACATTTAAAATTATTTATTTATTTGTTTAAATGTTTACGTATATATATATATAGATACATATATATATATATATATATATACATGTATATAATTTTTGTTCATATGTATGTGTGTACTCACTTGAGTAGAATCCAAACGTTATCTTCCTCAGTCATTTTACCTTATTTTTTGAAGCAGGGTCTTTAGTTGAACCTGGAGCTTACCATTCAGCTGGCAAGTGAGCCCTCAGAATAGGCCCGTCTTTGTCCTCAACACTGAAGTTACAGGCATGTACCACTGAATGCAGCTTTTTCGTTGGTTCTGTGGATCTGAACTGAGGTCCCTATTTCTACTCAGTAAGCACATTGTCCACTGGGCTCCCTCCCTGGCCCTCAGATAACCTTTTGCACGGCTTTTCCTCATACTAAATGGCCCTAGGTTACTATGTGTTTTGAATTTTGTTTGTTTGTTTTTAAGGCTGTTTATGTAATTTTGTCATCTTTATATTACCCACCAACATGTTTGCTTTCAACAGTTACTTTTTTTTCTTGTTTGTGACAGCCTTCTAAACCAGACTTTTTTTTTTAATTTTTTATTTTTTAGCCAGAAATGCACACGTAGGAACTCGGAGCACTTGGCAAAGGCTTTGAATGGACCTTTCCTGGGCATTGCATGGGTCTTGGGACTGAGTTTTTCCCACCACGGCTCTTTGTTAACCAACCACTCTAGAAACAGGGCTGATGAAGTTCTCTGTTGTTATCTCAGATTCTCAGGAGCAGTTTGGAATGATGCCCTGTGGAGACAGCTGGTGGCCTATCACTGTTGCAAAATTACTGAGAAATCCAGGGAGTTTTATAGGCATTCTACGTATGGAAGCCATTGTTTTCCTTGTTTAAAAAATGGTTGTGAGAATTAAGGAAGATTTTGGGGGGAGGCAATTTGAATAAGTGTGTGTGTGTGTGTGTGTGTGTGTGTGTGTGTGTGTGTGTGTGAGTGTGTGTGTGACATTCCCAGCAAGGTGGAGTGTCAGCCGTTTTCCTTAGACTGGTGGCAGGAATCTGTTGACGGAAGACATAAGGCTTCATGCAGCGACCAGAGAGATTTACCCTCGTCATTTCTGTGGACTTTGCCTTTATTAAGGCAGCTTGTGGCATCATGGAGTCACAACAAGTTTCCCATGAAGTTACAGTGACAATTTGCTCGCTGACAAGCCAGGTCTCACTTTGGACAATCGGATCACAGATTCTACATGACTTCCTGTTAAATACCATCCTGGTACCCTGTCTCCTGCTTGCTTTCGATGCTATCACATAGACAGTCTCTCTTGTCCTGTCTGTCTTATATGCAGTTCCATCTAGTCACATCTTCCATGCCCTGGTTCAGGTCAGGGCAGGGAAGGACAAGGAGAAGTCCTTTTTGATATCTCATGAGACATCCTTCCCTCTGCCATGGCGTCCTTCCTCAGCTTTCCTGGATAGGCTGTTCAGGCATTTGTAAGTTTAATTTAGATGTCTTGCCATTGATGGTTGCCTCCGGAACCCAGTGATTAGTTCGTCTCAGAGTCAGTGCCCCGCTTCATGGTCTCATGTACAGGCATGTACCAGCGTGTACTAACCCTGTAATGTGGCCTTAGTCAAAGACCTGCCAACTCAGCAGGGTTGAGGGCATCAGCCAGTGGGCGTAAGGCTACATGGCTAGGCCAGTGTGGGGCTCCCCAGGGACTTTGGAAGTCCTCAGTTACTGCCGTAATTTCAAGAGTCTTAGCAGCCTCCTGGGTCCTCATCTTCCTGGAGAGCTGGACCGATCTTTTGACCCTAACAATTTAAATTTTTTTAAAAAATTATGGTAAAGTGCACTTAATTTTTTATCGCCTTAGCCACAATTAAAAAGATTTATTTTAATTAATTTAATTATGTGCATGTATGTGTGTCTATGTGGAAGTATATGCATTTGAGTGTCCTATGAGGCCAGAGGAAGGCCAGAGTGTGTCAGATCCCCTGGAGCTAGAGTTGCAGGTCGTTGTGGGCCATCTGATGTGTGTTCTGGGAACTGATCTTGGGTCCTCTGCAAGAGCAGTCTGTGCTTTTAACTGCCGAGCCAGCTCTCCAACTCCTTAACCTCTTTTAAGTGTACATTTCAAGACTGTTAAGTATATAATCATCCCTGGATGCATATGAGTTCCAGATTCCCCAGTTGAACCAGCTACAGGTAGAAACTGGAAAAACTTGGATCTGTGCTGACAGTTTTCTTGTGATTATTATCTAAACAAGACAGCATGGTAGCTACTTTCCCGGCACTTGTATGACCCAGAGGTGAGGAAGAGGTGCTCACAGGCTCTGTGCAAACATGAGCATTTCATTACAAGGGACTTGGGCATGCTTGGACTTTGATGTTACAGGTGGTCTTATGTGAATGCTGAAGGATGACTATTCACTTCATGAGATCTTTCCATCCTTTTCCGCTCCTAAAACTAAAGCTGTATCAATTAAACAGCAGCCTCTTGTTCCTGCTTGCTCCAGCCCCAGAGAGCTGCCATTTTACTTTCTGTCCCTACAGATTCGTCTAATATCTTGAATATGTCCGTTGCCTGGAAAATCCTGTAGTACTGTCTTCCTAATGGCTAATTTCACTTACCAAGTCCTTAGGGTTCCTTCTTGTTGGTACACAGGTCAATGTCCCCTTTCAAAGAAGAATGTTGCTCCACAGTGTGGAGCCCTTAACACTTTTAAATTATGGAGTCTGCTAGGGCCTTCACTTTATTTGGTCCACAGTTTCCCCACGTGTCTAGGGTTGGGGTAGGCTGAGAACCGGGCCACAAACTGGGTTCAGAGTTATTTTTCTTCACCTCTAACTCTGGGGTGTGAGGGCCAGGACTGAAGTTATTGTTGGCCTTCTTCTCAGGGCCGTACTCGTGATGAGAGGGGACGGTGAACCGAGCGTAGGGGATCTTTGTGTTGCTTTTAAGCAGGATGGGCAAAGAAAGACAAAGTACTTCGATGCTGGAAAGGAGGCGGGTTGTGTTGCATAGTGACATTGCAGCACTCACCCTCAGAGGCTGGTCTCTGTGTGACCCAGGTCTGCACGGCTTTGAAGACAAAGTGGGCACTGGCATTATATCTGTATTGTTGCTCTGAGGTGGCTTGATGACGGGGACTTGAAGCCATGTTCAGACAGTAGAAAACCAACTCACAAACACTTATGGGCATACTCAAGAGGGCAGGAGAATCAGGAACATAGAGGACTCTATTCTCTCCATGGTTTTCAGCTCTGGCTTGGGCTCCTTCAGGAATTCCAGTGCAGTACATCCCGTCTTTGTTAGTCAAGAGGCAACGAGTGTGTAAGAATAATAATCCAGGTCACAGGTCTATGCTCAACGTTTTCCCAGCAACTGCTTCAGAGCCCCAGACCTCAGTCCTTCCAGCCCCTGGACCATAAGCAGTAGCCAATGGTTCTCTCCATCAAATGGCCAGATGTGAATGACCTTAGTTTTACCTCCTCAGCAACTTCATAGGCATTTGGAAAAGAATTCTTAGAACTGGAAAGGCGATCAATTTCAACAGCTAACAGCTAACACTTTGTGATGAGCTGGTGCACCGGTGAGTCTTGCTCAGCGTCTCCAGCACTGGAGGCAGACCGCAGCACCACTCTCCTTCTCTATCCCATGTGGTTGTCACTGCCCCCATCCTCCTCAGCGTGTGGGCCCTGCGAAGTCGTGCCTGACAGAGATTTGATGTTCTGGGATGGAACAGATGGAATGTGTTCTGGTCTCACAGTGAAGCCGGGCATGGCTGTGAGCTAGCAGCTTGCTTGGCCCCTGGCAGAGAGCCACACAGTGAGTAGTTAAGGGCGCCTTGGCACACAGTTTGAGGTGTGGGATGACTTCCTCATAACAATCCTGTGATGTATATGTAGCATTCCATTTTACCCAAGTAGAAGTCAAGGTTCAAAGAAGTGAATATGCTGGACTAAGACAACACAGATGGCTGGCGAGAGATGCAAGACCGACCCTGTCTCCCTGAGGCTCTGACGGCCCATTGGATTTGCCAGCTGGATTCCTTGCATGATGCATCTTTGGGGACCTGGGGCTTTGTCCTCTGTCTAGTATCTGGAACCAAAGGGAATCAATGTCCCTCTTGGGGCTGAGCCCCTCCCCAGCCCTAAGAAACAGGGTGTGGACATTGATAGAGTTTACTGTTTTCCTTCCTTTAGGGGGTCCTCTCTGCTCTTGCTGTGTCCCAGATCCTATGGGGCTCTCCTTCCTCCCGACTTATGGCTGCCAGAGTAACCGTACTGCCAGCGTGGCTGCCCTGCGCATGAAGGCTCGAGAGCATTCGGAAGCTGTATTGCAATCAGCCAACCTCCTGCCGTCTACCAACAGCAGCCCAAGCCCCGCTTCCAAGCAGGTGCCTCCAGAAGGCAGCCAGGGCAAGACCTCCCCAACCAAGGAACAGAGCGAGGGAGAGAAGAGCGTATGAGGGTCCAGAGTACCCGCCTGGAGCCCTCCCCACCCCCGCTTCTCTCAGCCTCAGCAACTCTCTGAACCACAAGGAGTAGCCACCTCCTCATGGATCTGGCGGGGAAAGTGAGACCTGCAGCCAGTTGATACCTGCAGAGTCCCTCTAGAATTCTGCTGGTAGGCTGTGTTCTGGCTTTTTTGGTGACAGTTTCCAATGGCACTTAGTGGCTCTGGACATTGCTCTGTGGTGAGGTTTTGGTTTTGTTTTGTTTTGTTTGATTTCTAGGCCAAGCAGCCTTGGAGAAAAGCCAAGCTGTTCATCCTACCGCCCTTCTTGAGCTATTTGGGAGGTCTTGTCAATTCCAAGGACTGTGGCAAGTATCAACCCCCAAAAGATACCAAGAAGCAACATTTCATGACAAGAAAAGACAGTCACTCTCATATTGTTTAAGAACCACAGAAGTGGTGGACTAGCAACCACTTCTCACTCCCTTCAGCCAAGACTGGCAACCACACTTTTTTTTTCTTGCTTTAGCTGAGGGTTTGGTTAGGAAGGGACAAATACAGGGTGAATTCACAATGGTCTGGACCTTAGCAGATTTCTCTGGGCACATCTGACTGGGCCCCGTCGGACAGGCTGTCAGTTCTGTGACCCCGGAAACTGCTGTCTTGGTACGGTGTGTGTAGAGCAAATGTGGGTCTTCTGCAATCAGAGTGCCCACTCGCAGGCCCTGCCTCTCTTCAGAAGAACAACGGAAAGTTCACCAATCAGAAAGTAGCTTTGCGGCCTATGAAAGGACCAGAGCTCCTGAGGGGAGAGGAAAGTCCCAGGGAGGCCCCTGAAATACATATGTGCAGACGAACTGCCCTTCTTCATGTCCCTCATGTGTGGAGGGAGATCTGCAGGGGGTGACGAGATGGGACTGGTGGATGCGCAGACAGGAAACCCAGGAAGATGACTCCCTTGGGGTGGAAGAGAATGGATTACCAAGGGCCAAACTTCATAGAGATTTCTGCCTCAGTCTGGTGAGGCTGTGTTCTTTCTCTCGGATAGTGACCTCAAAGAGATCAAACGGAGGATGTGCAATAGCATGAGGCCCGCCCCTCGCCTGGCACTGGCAGGGTGGTGGTTGTTGGTGGCTTTCGCTGCTGATGTTTCTACACAAACAGTTACCGCTTTCATGAAGGCTGTTTTCATTCCAGTTCTGATAATCGAGAGGCTGTGCTGTGAGGCCCTCTGCCTCCCCATAACTCTCCAGGAGCGCCCCCTCCCCTGTAATACTCCTAAGTGTATCGTGCCTCACTTCCGGTTACTACAATGCATTTGATAGAACACACCGTCTCCTTAAAAAAAAAAAAAAAAAAAAGAAAAAAGAAAAAAAAAGCAGCCAGATCCTTGTTCCTGCTGTATTTTGCTTGTTGAGTACAAAGATGAAGTGATTTGCCAAAAAGCGGCCAAGTTGCTTCCATTTCCCTGTAATTATGAAAGGTTTGGTTGAGCAATGTATGCTCCAGCCCTTATGCGCACTAACTCTTCAATCTAATTGTTTGATTAAACTCGTATTTCCTCCAGAAAGGTACATAAATAAGTGAACTGTTGGGCAAATTAAGAATACTTAACAGCATTGTATCCGAAAAGTAGTTATGCTGATTAAATTTTGTGTCCTTGAGGACTTTCAGGAAATTACTTTTGATCGTCAATAACACAATTAAGTAAACTACACACACATTAGCATGAATAATTGATAAGAAATTATGTATTACCACGAAGCACTGATTTAATAATTCATGACGCGACACTCCAGTGACTGTGCAAAACTGGATAACATTGAAAAGTCTGCCTGACGTTCTGGGAAGAAGGAAAAAAAAAACGAGCGCCAAACCTCTGCAGAGATGTCTGAGCACTTAGTTCTGTTGTACAAAGGGTAAAAGTAACCGATGCATGATGTTGTTTCTGTTCCTTTAAACTCCTGAATAAATTTAGACTTTAAAGACCTCCCTTGACTTCTCTATCTTCTTCCTGGTGCCTGATCCCTAAGCTTCTGGGTTGGGCGGAGTCTGTGCTCTCTAATACTCTATCTTGGCCAGCGTGCAAATGGAAATGCTCTTGAAGCTTGAAGGAAAAGGGCCTGGAAGCCTCGGGCACGAGAACCTTTTAACAGATGCCAGGCCGGGTTGGAGGCCCCCGTGTGAGCTAGGGCTCTCCCTCAGGTCTTCAGGACTCACTTACCTCACCTTGTCCTCATCAGGGCCGTCACTGGTGAAGTGCTCTTTGGGGCGGTTACAGCTGGAGCCCCCGTGGGCTGCCCTGTCTGCAGAAATTCATAATGTGACTATAAAAAGACAGCCAGCTTTGGTCTGGGAAGGAGGTCCAGGCCCCAGGGATTGATTGGTGATTGATTAATAACTATTTATTAATTTATTAGTTGAAGCTTTCCAAAGAGCATGTCTTAATGTGCTGCAGGTTATGGTAACAGCTTGGAAGCCACTGCAGCCACGACAGGGAGAGTGGCCAGCGTTGGTCAGGGTGATGGTCCTAGGAAGGGGAGCAACAGCTGGTCCCTCGGGGGTGACCTGGACACATGGCACTGGGCCATTTCCAGGGCTTCCCTCCTCCTTCAGTTTGCATTTTATCTGGAAATAGCCAGTGTAGGGGCCTCTCAACTGGGTAGAAAGAGCTTTGTCAGACACCACTGTCCCAATGGCTGGGAACTCAACAGGGGTTAGTGCATCACACCACAACACTCCACCCACAGGATAAGCACTGCTTCGGGACTTCTCTGTCTGGAAGTCCAAAGTCCACAACGTTCCAAACCCCAAAAGCTCTAGAGCGCTGACTTTGCCAAGGTGGAAAATTCCATTCCATACCTCACACGCAGAATCATGGAAAGAACTGTGTAAAGGCCATGTAAAGTGTTTATGAAACACACACTCTGTGGTTTTGTTTGGGTCCTTTCCCCAAAGCATGTCATTATGCTTATAAAACAAACAAACAAACAAACAAACAAAACCCCAATCATCCCAATATCTGAAAAATGTCTCAGATCTCAAACACTTCTGGCCACAAGCATCTGAGTCTATTCTTATTCCCACTTAATGGGTATGAAAACCGAGGGCACAAAGGCTGGACAGTTTCTCTAATGTGACATTGCCTGGTGACGTTCAGTGGGAGGAACAGGGGCTTTTCAAAAGCAGGGCTGCTCCTAGCTCAGGACTCAGGTGCCTTGACAGGGTAGGTGAGCCGCAGTTTGGCAGGTGGTAAGTAGGGCAACTTTGTTGCTTTGCTTGCGGTGGCTGAACTCTAGCCTGAAGGCTTGTGGGGAGGGAGGAGGCCTCCCTGGATTCAGCCTAGCCGAGCAGAGGCCAGCTTCTTCCCTCTTGGTCTGCTTCTAGGCCAGTACACTGGCCTGGTGTGCGCAAGTCTGTCTCGAGACAGACCCAGCCTGGATTTCCAGTCCTTCTGGAGTGAGAGCTCCTGGGCTCTCTAGAGTTTACCACAACACAAACTGGGACTCAACCAACATACATGATGAAACATTCTGGTTTCACTAGAAAAAACAAAAATATTGTCAGTTCAGAGCCTTGCCGAGTTAAACATTTTACATGTTCGAAATCCCAGCTCTTTGTCTGTGTGGCTCTGGCCAGTCGTTTAACCTCTCTGTGCTTTAGTTCTCATGTAACCCAAAAGCAACAGGCTTTTGGGGTTCTTTGAAGGTGATGGTTGGATCTATTTCTGAATGGTGCCTGGTATTGAGGAAGCACAGGGCGGAGGCTGGCTCTCTTTCCATAATGCCTCACAGGTATTGGGGCTGGAAGACTTTTCTTAGTTGGAAATCTCATGTTCTCAAGGAGAAAAGGGGGCAAGGGCACGAAAGAGCCCACCAGACCCCCTTTCCAGCAGAATTTATGGAAGGGCATGGCTTCCAGAAGGAGGCATATGCTCAGTCTTCCGCTTGCCTTTCAGCACTGAGATGGGTGGGAGCAGGGTTCCAGGAGGAACGAGGATGTCCAAGTACAGGTTCTTAGTTTTGCAGTAAGTTGAAATCAGTAAGACAAAGGGATACAAGATGACATCATATAGTTTGGACTCATTCTGGACTTCAAGGGACAGGTATCAAGAACCAGGTGGTTGTGTGTGTGTGTGTGTGTGTGTGTGTGTGTGTGTGTGTGTCTTCTCTCCTTTCCGATGTTCTTTGCAGAGGCCACTGATCTTCCCCTGGGCAGCATCGCCCTTCTGCTTCATCCCTCATCACATGAGAACGATTGGTTCATGGTGGTTTTGGAAGTTCACCCAGACCTCTTGGGCAGCGGAACTGATCGGTCTAGGCAGGGCCCAGTAGATTCATCTGGTTCAATGGATTGTGGCCAACCAATTGTGCCCGAGGTGCAGGCAGTTCCTAGGGATTTGGAGAGAGACAAGGAGTGTGTCTCTCAGGGCAGGCCACATTAAAGGCAGGGAAAGGCACAGATGCGGCGGAGCCTGCAGGATGACACTTACATTCCTTAAAGAGAGACTTGAAGGATTGATGTATAAAATGGCAGTTCAGGGCCCTGCGTGGACGAAGCCCCCGGTTTGATTCCCAGTGCTACATGAAAGCAGGCGCTCTCAAGAGTTGCCAGCCAAGTACCAGGACTTCAAGGTTTTCCTCTGCTACACAGCAAGTTCAAGGCCAGCCTGTGCTATTTGACCCCTGCCCCTCCACTTGAAAAATAAAGAGCACAGTCTTAGCCCAAGGCTCTACTTTGGAACACAAGCAATCCAGTGCCACAGAATTCAGCACTTGGTGTTTTTCATGGCAGGACTTAGCCATTGCTACAAATCCACACAGAAGCATGACATGTGAGGTATGCTTGCCCGGACCCCGGAGGCTCAGGATCCCTGCAGCCATGAAACACCCAGCTGCCCCTATGAGCTGTCCTCAGCTGCCCACCTATGTCCAGATGGCCCTTCCAGTGACAACAAAGCTCTTGCACGAGAGGGTGGACCAATGGAGCCGCAGCACCACCAGCAGCTGTTCA